CCAGGCTGGTGTGCAGTGGTGTGAACCTATCTCCTGGGTTCAAGCGATTCTCCCTCAGCCTCACCAGTAGCTGTGATTAGAGGCGCCACCACCACGCCTGGCTGATTTTTGTATTCTTAGTATAGATGGGATTTCACCATGTTGGCCAGGCTGGTCCCAAACTCATGACCTCAGGTGATCCGCCTACCTTGGACTCCCAAAGTGCTGGATTACAGGCATGTGCCACCACACGCAGCCCCAAGACCCCTCTTAATCAGAGTGGTCATAGCAGGGTCTTAGCAACATTGACTCCACAGTGCCAAATGAAGATAGGCCATAGGTAGTGGCATATTTCTTCTGTGGGTCCACACTCTTTCTCTTTTTCTATGTATTTATCAGAGAGGGAAGTGTATCATAGACTTAGAACAATGCCAAAGACACATACAGTTTAAAGAATAATGACAAACACCCCAGCACCCAGTACATTTCTAGTGCCTAAGAAGCCCCCTGGGTGTCCATATCCCTTGACACTCAGAGTTAACTGCCATTTCATGAGAATCACTTGAACCCAGGAGGCAGAGGTCACAGTGAGCTAAGATCGTGCCACCGTACTGGCTAATTTTTTTTTTAAGTAGAGATGGGGGTTTCACCATGTTGGCCAGACTGGTCTTGAACTCCTGACCTCAGGTAATCCACCCTCCTTAGCTTCCCAGAGTGCTGGGATTACAGTTGTAAGCTACTGCGCTCAGCCAAAGCAGAATAATTCTGAGTATGAACTACTGCATAGCTTTTGGTTTTATAGAAATGTGTTCTTTCCCAGGCACATTCCTCGTATGTGTAATCCCAGCACTTTGGGAGGCAGAAATGGGCAGATCACTGAATGTTGGGAGTTTGAGACCAGTCTGGCCAACATGGTGAAACCCCATCTCTATTAAAAATACATAAATTAGCCAGGAGTGTTGGCAGGTGCCTGTAATCCCAGCTACTCTGGAGGCTGAGGCAGGAAAATCCCTTGAACCTGAGAGGAGGTTGCAGTGAGCTGAGATCGCACCACTGCACTTCAGCCTGGGGGACAGAGTAAGACTCCGTCTCAAAAAGAATAGGAAATGTGTTCTTTAAAATAGAAAAAAAGGGGAAAAAGCCTTTATTGTTAGCTTCATATACAAATACCTTTCTAGGACGAGTGTGATGGTAGGAAGCAGTCGGGAGGTCAGTTTTTACTGATGATGTGTGTTGAGACAGTCAGGTGGTCCTCAATTGGACAAGTTCCTGCTTCTCATTGTGGCATTGACATAGCAGACCAGTAGTCTGTATGGTTAGCATCTGCCTGTGTTGGATTAATAAGGCACATGGCACATGTGCTGATGGAGTAGAAATTATCCATAAGCGGCCCATGGAGTGGCTCATGTCTGTAATCCCAGCACTTTGGGAGGCCTAGGTGGGCAGATCATGAGGTCAGGAGTTCGAGACCAGCCTGGCCAACATGGTGAAACCCTGTCTCTACTAAAAATACAAAAATTAGCTGGGTGTGGTGATATGTGCCTGTAATCCCAACTACTTGGAGAATTGCTTGAACCAGGGAGTAAGAGGTCGCAGTGAGCTGAGATTGCGCCATCGCACTCTAGCCTAGCAACAGAGCGAGACTCTGTCTCAAAAAAAAAAAGAAATTATCCGTAGGCCATTGTTCATATCAGCAAGTATAGGCTACAAGGACAGTAGGATGTGACAGGGATGAGAGGTGCACATTCCTTCTGGAAAGAGGCACCCTTGCAAAGTTCTTTTCAGGTGACCACTTTGGAGCTGGGTCTGTCTGTCTCACTCTGCCTGTGGAGGAAAGTGGAGTTGTCTTGTAGATGTAAATGACTTTTCTCTGTTCTGCACAGACTTCTGCTGGATGTGTCTAGNTTTTAAGAGACATGGTCTCTCTGTGTGGCCAAGGCTAGAGTACAGTGAAGTGATGGTCGCTCACTGCAGCCTCAAACCCCTGGGCTGAAGCGTGCCTTAGCCACCCAAGTAACTGGAACTACAGGTGTCCAGCCAATTTTTTTAAATTTATTGTAGGGGCCAGGCGCAGTGGCTCACACCTGTGACCCCAGCACTTTGGTAGGCCAAGGTGGGCAGATCACCTGAGGTCAGGAGTTCAAGACTAGCCGGGCCAACATGGTGAAAGCCTGTCTCTACTAAAAATACAAAAAATAGCTAGGCGTGGTGGCAGGCACCTGTAATCTCAGCTACTCAGGAGGCTGAGGCAGGAAAATCACTTGAACCTGGAAAGCAGACGTTGCAGTGAGCTGAGATCATGCCATTGCACTTCAGCCTGGGTGACAAGAGCAAAACTCCGTCTCAAAAAAAAAAAAAAAAAAAAATTGTAGAGACAAGGTCTCCTTATTTCCCTATGTTGGTGTCAAACTCCTGGTCTAAAGCAGTCCTCCCACCTTGGCCCACAAAGTGCTGAGATTATAGGTGTGAACTTCTGCACCTGGTCAACAGATTTTTTTTTGTTCTTTTTGAGACAGGGTCTCTCTCATTTGCCCACACTGGAGTGCAATGATACGAACATAGCTCACTGCATCTTTGACCTCCAGAGCTCAAGTGATCCTCCTTCCCTAGACTCTCTAGTAGCTGGGACTACAGGCACATAACACCACACCTGGATAATTTTTTATTTTTTTGTAGAGATGAAGTCTCATCATGTTGCCCAGGCTGGTTTCAAACTCCTGGGCTCGAGCAGTCCTCCCACCTTGGCCTCCCAAAGTGCTAGGATTACAAGCATGAACCACTGCACTCAGCCTATAGACACATTTCATTTGTGCATGTTAGAGCATGTCTATAAGGACTTAAATGACAAGACATTCATGCAGCTATTTCAGTATAATCCTAGGAAAGTAAAGGTCCCATAGGCCTTGAGAGATAACTTTATCTATTTGAAAAGCTCTAGGCTGGGCATGGTGCCTCACGCCTGCAATCCCAGCACTTTGGGAGCCCAAGGTAGGTGGATCACTAACTAGGTCAAGAGATCAAGACCATCCTGGCCAACATGGTGAAACTCCATCTCTACTAAAAATACAAAAATTAGTTGAGTGTGGTGCCACACACCTGTAGTCCTAGCTACTTGGGAGGCTGAGGCAGGAGAATCGCTTGAACCCGGAAGACGGAGGTTGCAATGAGCCGAGATCGTGCCACTATACGCCAGCCTGGCAATGGAGTGAGACTCTGTTTCAAACAAAAAAAAAAAAGAAAAACTCTTAATTCATGATTTGTTGGTTTGGATAAAAGGAAAATTATTTAAACATGGGACCCTGACTTAATGAATATTTGAATGTTTTTCTTTTCCAATTTTTAAGTTTCAAGTGTCGTCAGATGTATCATGCACCCACAGACTGCGCCACTATCCGGAAATGGCTCACGAAGTGTGCAGACGACTCTGAAACAGCCAACTACATTAGTGCTCACACTAAAGACGTAAGGACCATATTTTACCTCTCATGGATCTGCCCTCTTTAGTGGTGCCCAGGGCCTTGCCTTGGAGATTTGCCATCTGAGAACAGAATACTCAGAGCCCCAGGGCCCATCCTGAGGACTGGGGGTTGAGGACCCTCACACAGAGTTGGCAGCTTTTAGCAGTTTATCATCAGATGCATTGGGTGCATTTTTAAAAATTATGAAATGCCAAAATTCCAGGAAAGTTTGACCCAAAGGGGGAACTAATTAGAAGAGAGCTAGTTATGATTGAATGCCTACCAGCCTTTAACAGCCTTGGGAAGGAGGTGGTTAATAGCCACACCTGGTGCATCGTAAGGCTGTAATAATGCAAGCCCAGACCTGCACAATACTCATTTTGAAGTTTTCCATGGGAAAATATGGCCTGCAGGCTCTAGGGGCCACTGTACCCTTTGTCAGTCAGTCGCCGAGTCAGTGCACTCACAAGCTCGGCTGTAATAACGACATCATTAAACATAGTCTACTTCACAGCAGTGTAAGATCACAGAATCAGATTGGTCTCTGCATTGCTGCCTCAGGTTGCTGGCATCTCTCAAATGAGAGAGAGGAGCTTTAGATGTGGATTCCTTGCCCTCTTCTCAAAGCAGAAGTCCAGGCAAGCTGACAAGGACTGAATCCATTGCGGCAGCTCCTGTGCTTCCTTGGCAGTCCTCTCAAGTAGGCAGGCTTTCTGCTGATTCAGCCTGTGCTTAATCTGAGCAGCTTCATGGCAGGGGCAGATGTTGGAAGACTTAGTGGGGCTCAGCTGGTGCTTGAAATGTTTCAAAGCCAAATATGCTGACCTCATTTCCTTGAATTGCTGTTCCAGCCTCAGTGACCTGCCACATTTAAGTGAGATGCTCCTCCCCAGAAGTGCTCACATGATGAGCGACTGGGCACAGGTGCCAGGAGCTTTGTATAATTTGTCTTAAAACCAGCCCAGTGGTGTATGAGCCTAATGGCACCCTTCTGTCTCCCCAGTGTCCCAAGTGCAACATCTGCATTGAGAAGAATGGAGGCTGCAATCATATGGTAAGCAGAAGCCTGTATACTTTGCATGTGTGACATGGAGACTTTGGTCAGTGTGCCCTTAACATGTTCTCTTCTGTTTCCCTCTGACAGCAATGCTCCAAATGTAAACACGGTGAGTTCCAAGCTTGGTATGTAAGGCCCAGTGGCATTTTCTTGTGCTTGGGTCTTCGTTACTATTTAAGTGAGTACTTCTGCCCTGAAATGACAAAACATAGAAGAGCCTCAGTCACTTACAGTCACAATAACTGGCATAAAGTAGCTTATTTTATTTTATGGTCCCTCTTATAACCCCATTACTATCTTGCTAACACATATAGTCAGAAGTCAAGTTTGGGATAATCCTCATGATCCTCAGTCATCCAAGAAGATGATTTCAGGGTATTGCTTTCATTCTTTTTGCCAAGGCTGGTAAGTAGCTTGAGGCTTATCTGTGCTACCTTAGAGATACCTTTACCAGAGGTAGTAAAATAATGGTTTTCCCTTGCTGTTTTACAAAGTTTATAGAGGGAGTTTTGATTTAGCGTTTCAGACCTCCTTTATCGATCAGGAGTAGTTTACATAGGTAGAACCAATTGGTTTTGCATGCCTTCCTGCCAGGTCAACTGAAGAAACAGAATCCGTTAAAGTAGAAAATATGTCCAAGTAGGTCTCCTACACAGCTGCTTTGATGCTCATCAGGAGCCCCTGAGAGTTTCTACTTTTTTTTTTTTTGGAGACAGAGTCTCTCTCTGTTGCCCGGTGATTCTCTTGCCTCAGCCTCTTGAGTAGCTGGGATTACAGGCATGTGCCACCACACCCAGCTAATTTTTGTATCTTTAGTAGAGATGGGTTTTGCCACGTTGGCCAGTCCTGATCTCAGGTGATCCACCTGCCTTGGCCTCCCGAAGTGCTGAGATTATAGGAGTGAGCCACTGTGCCTGGCCGAGAGTTTATCTTTGTAAGGGCCTGTGTAAATGCTATTCCCAGGAGCCCTCTTTTCTTTTTTCTCTTTTTCTTTTGTGACAGAGTCTCTGTCACTCCCAGGCTGGAGTGCAGTGGCGTAATCTCAGCTCATTGCAACTTCTGCCTCCCAGGTTCAAGCAGTTTTCCCATCTCAGCCTTCTGAGTAGCTGGGATTACAGGTGCCCACCACGTCTGGCTAGTTTTTTGTATTTTTAGTAGAGAGGGGGTTTCACCATGTTGGCCAGGCTGGTCTCAAACTCCTGACCTCAGGTGATCCACCTGCCTCAGCCTCCCAAAGTGCTGGGATTACAGGTGTGAGCCACCACGTCTGGCTGAGTACATATTATTTTTATAAATGAGAGAAAATGCATTTTACTGTTAGAATAAGTAGAATCAAATCATGATAATATTTTTCACCCCGTTAGTAATTTTTCAACCCTATATATAGGTTAAGCTTGCTATATTTATTCAGTTAGTTTTGTTTTGTTTGCTATATCATATGTAGTTATGTTTTGTTTTCAAAATGAAAAGAAAAAATTGCCTTTTTTTCTCATTGTAAAATTAATACAGAGACTTCCAGTTCCAAGACAGTTCCAGTTGCACATCTCCCTATTCTTCTGCTAAGTATAGCTAAATACCCTGGGCAATACATGTAAAATAAACATAAGGAGACTCTGGAAGGTAGAGATGAGGCAGTTTGGGTATTTACATTAAAAAACATGCCAGCAAATTCTCTGGGCTTTCTTTTTGCTTCATGTATCCCAGACTGGGTACTGACAAACAGGCAACCTAGAAATACCAGGGGGTTCATATAATGCCCTCCATCCCTACCCTGAGCCTGCTGTCTCTAGACAAAGGAACAGGAAAGGGACAGCCTATCAAGGAAGAAAATATTTAGTTAATAACCACCAGTGCATAAAGGCTACCATGGGAGGCCTGAGTCTGCTATCCTTAGAAATTCTTGTTTGCAAGATTGGTCTTCTGCTGGCATCTGGGAACATCCTACAGTTCTTACATAGATATGAAACTTTCCTAAAACGGTAAGAATGGCTCACTGAGCCTAGACTGATGGCAAACAATGTAACTTCTGCTGCACAGCTGCTTTCCTTCTGAAAGTCTGCAATATTGATAGATGCAAGACAAAGGGTATCTACATGATTGATATAGTTTGTCTGTGACCCCAGCCAAATCTCATCTTGTATTGTAATTCCCATAATTCCCATATGTTGAAGGAGGGTCCTGGTGGGAGGTGATTGAACCATAGGAGTGGTTTCCCCCATGCTGTTCTCATGATGATGAGTGAGTTTTCACATGATCTGATGGTTTTCTAAATGCCTGGAATTTCCCCTGCTTGCACATTCTCTCCTGCTGCCATGTGAAGAAGGTCCTTGCTTCCTCTTCACCTTCCACCATTATTGTAAGTTTCCTGAGTCCCACTGAACTATATGGAACTGTGAGTCAATTACACCTCTTTCCTTTATAAGCTACCCAGTCTTGGGCAGTTCTTTATAGCAGCAGTTGAAGGGGACTAATACAATAATTAACTGTCCCCAAAACCTAGGGCACTGAGTCTCTAATAATCTTCCTTTGCAGACACAATTCATCCCTGTTGTCACAGTTCCCTATTAACAAAATTAAGTGTGCTCTACATAATTTCCCTGGGAGAGAATCCTTAGAATCTTGTGCCTGGTTTCCTCCAGACTTCATTCCATGAGGCTATTCATTTTGCTCATTTTATTTGTGACTGCAACTATATGGTGAGCCCTGTGAGTCCTCCTAGTGAAACACTGAACCTGGGAGTGTTCTTGGAGACCCCTGACACACTGCTATACTCCAATTAAATATCACAGAAAAAGCAGTGGTCCCACCCCCACCCTTCAGTAGCAGCTGAATGGGAAGCTCAGAATTTATCACCCTTGCTGGACTATAGAGTCTCCTAAACCCCCACCAGGTTGGTTTCAGAGAAGACTGAGTGGGAAGCCAAACTTTCACCATCTTCCAGTGGTAATGAGTCCCCCAACACACCCTCCGAAGTGTCAGTAGAGGCCATGTGAGGATGTAACAGTGAAACAGCAAAAGAACTAACATAACTAATCCAGTTTTTGTTTAAGGGGACTTTACTCATTCCTGCATGTAGGCTAGGATAATTTAGAACACTGAGATAATATGCCAAAACAGCAATCATATAGTTTTTAGAACTAACTCTAGGATTAAAGGAGAAGTATGTAAACAGCTAACTATGTTTTGTTGAAGATTTATAGGAGCATTTGTGACATGACCAAGGACAAAGAAGTTCCCAACCACTCTGAACCCTCATTGGTGCCCAGATGTCCGCGGTTATTGGTCACCTCTTGATCTCATATCCCTCCTCTTCCTCTTCCCTTTAACATAAAAAGAACCTAATATTTGTACTGACTTAAGATGGTAGTTTACAATGATAGTCCACCATCTTCTCAGTTAGTTGGCTCTCTGAATAAATCTGCTTTTCCTTCCACCAACCATCGTTTTTCATGCCTGGCTTTCAAGCAGTGAGCAGCTGAACCTGGGTTCAGTTACAAGGGACAGTAATGAGGCATCTCTCTCCCTCCCAATCAGGGTAGTATCAGTGGAGGCTGAGTGGGGAGCATGAACTCCCAACCTTGCCCAACAGTAATGAGATAACTTCCCCACCAACCTAGGTTGTCAAAGGAGGCCTGATGGAGAGCTTTCACTTCCTCCCCAGCCAGAGAGTTTGAAGGTGTCATCTCCCTTCTAACAATTCAGTGTCAGAGAAGTCCTGATGAAACAGAAAATTTAAATAAGATTTAGCACCAAGATAATACAGATGTTGGAATGATGTGATCTTAGCCTACATAATAAGGGTTTTAAAGCAGTCGTCATAAAAATGCTTTAATGAACAGCTATGAACATGCTCAAAATGAATAAAAAGTCTTAGCAAAAAAATAGAAGATATAAAGAAAAAATAAATTGAGATTTTCATACTGAAAAATACAATATCCAAAATAAAAAAAAAATGAGTGGATAGAAGAAGGGAGGGGACAGAAGAAAGAATCAACGAGCCTGAAGATAGAATAGGAGAAGTTATCTAATCTGAACAATGGAGAGAAAATAGATTACAAAAATTAACTGAGGTTCAGGGACCTGTAGACTCTACCAAAATATCTAATATTTGTGCTATTAGAGCCCTGGAAGGAGAGGAGAAAGAGAGCAGACCTCAAAAAGTGTTTAAAGAACTAGTGTTTGAAAATTGCCCAAATTTGGCTAAAGACATAAGCTTACAGGCTAAAGAAGCTGACTGAGCCCCAAACAAGATCAACACAAATAAATCCCCACCTGACACATCATTAGTCAAACTTTTGAAAACTAAAGACAATAAAATAAAATAAAATAAAAATCTTGAAAGCAGCAAAAGGGAAACAATGACTTATGAGTAGGGTGAAAAACAATTAGAATTATACAGGATTTCTCATGTAAAAAACTGGAAGCTAGAAGAAAGAAGCACATTTTTCAAGGGCCAAAAGAAAAGAAAAGCCAGCCCAGAATTCTGTATTCAGTGAAAATATGCTTCAGGAATAAAGGAAAAATCAAGACATTCTCAAATGAAGGAAGACTAAGAGCTTTTGTTGCTAACAGACCTACTACAATGGTTAATTTTAGATGTCAATCTGACTTGGTTAAGGAATATCTAGAAATCTGGTAAAGCATTATTTTTGAGTGTGTCTGTGAAGATGCTTCCAGAGAAAATTAGTGTGTGAGTCTGAGTGGACTAGCTGGGGAAGATCCGCTCGCAATGTGGGCAGGCACCATCCAATCTGCCAGGGGCTCAGAGAGGACAAAAACAGAGAAAAGGCGAATACATCACTCTATCTGCTGGAACTGGGATGTGCTTTTTCCTTTCTTGTCCTGGGAAAACAACTCCAGGCTCCCCAGCCTTTGAACTCCAGGACTTGCACGAGAGTCACCCTCCCTACCTGACAAACTGGGTTTTCAGACCTTTGGCCTTGGACTAGGAGTTACATCACCAGCTTCCCTGGTTCTTCAGCCTTGGGGCTTGGACCTCACCATACTACCAGCATCCCAGAGACTCCAGTTTGCAGATGGGCTGCCAAGGGATTTCTCACCCTCCACAATTATATGAGCCAATCCCTGTAATAAATCCCCTTACACTTCACTTGAACTAGTAGCATGTTATCACTAATAGACTGTTTTAAGTTATATTTACATAATTTAAATATAATGTAAATATAATATAATAATACCTAGAGCAACCACTACAAAATTTACTCAAAGAGATAAACTAAAAAAATTATACAAAGAGATACACTGCAGACAAATCAAAATGGAATTCTAAAACAATATTCAAGAAATAGATAGAAAAACAAGAAAAAATAGAAAAACTAAAAATAGGAGCCACAAACAGAAAACAAAACATAGGCTGGAAGACTTAAGTCTCAACAGATTACAAATTACCTTATAAACAAATGGTCTACTTTATTTCTAAAAGGTAAAACTTGGAAACAACTAAAATGCCCACTAAGTGAATGGTTAGACAAATTGTGGTAAATCTACACAGGGAATCCTACTCAGCCATAAAAAGAAATGAACTACTGATACACAAAATAGCTTGACTGGATCTCAAGGGCCTAATGATGAATGAAAAGGCTGATCTCCAAACGCTTATACTGTATGATTCCATTTACATGATATTCTTGAAATGACAAAATTATAGAGGTGGAAAACAGATTAGTGGCCAGCAATTAGGAGTGGTCAGAGGAATGGGGGTGGATGTGAGTACAAAGGGATAACACAAGTGTGGTGATGGAATAGTTCCTTGTGTTGATCATAGAGGTAATTACATGAATCTGCATGTGATAAAATGGCATAGAGCTATAAGTACACTCACAGCATGAATGTCAATTTTATGGTTTTGATGTACTATAGTTACATAAGATGTAATTCACTGGGAAAAACTGAGTGAAGGGTACACGTGACTTTTTGCAGAAGTTTATAATAATTTAAAATTATAAAGTAACAAATATTTATAAATATAATTATCATTTATAATAATTATAAAATCTTTATAATTATTTTTAAATCATTATAGATTCTCAAGAGAATCTACAGTTCTCTTGGGAATCTACAATGATCTAAAAATAGACTTTAAAAAGTCTCACAAAAGGCCGGGCATGGTGGCTCACACCTGTAATTCCCAGCACTTTGAGAGGCCAAGATGGGTGGATTATTTGGGTTCAGCAGGTTTGAGACCAGCCTGGGTAACATGGCAAAACTCTGTCTTTAGAAAAAACATACACGGAAAAAATTAGCTGGATATGGTAGCACGTACCTGTAGCCTAAGCTACCTGAAATGCTGATGTGGATCACCCAAGCCTGGGAGGTCAAAGCTGCAGCGAGCTTTAATGGTGCTGCTGTACGCCAGCCTGTGTAACAGAGCAAGATAAAAAAAAAATCACATAAACTATACATATGTGTGTATGAGTGTGTATAAAGTATAGAAAAGCAAGGATAGGCACTAAAAAGTTAGCAGAGTTATGAATATATCTGTGTTATTTGAATATTGTTTAAAAGAATGCCTTTATGAAATTCTCATATAAAAAAGAAACAAAAGTAATGTAAAAGCATTGTAAAAATTCAGATATACAGAAAAATACAAACAAGATGAAAATCACCTGTTCTATGATGCCCCAAAAGAAAATTTCATTAATTCACCTAACAAATATTTACTGAGTACATCCTACAGAGCTATGATCTATCACAATTTCAGTGTGCATTTCAGAACTTTCCTGTACCTCCAGAGTTATATACAAATTGTAATCATTCACTGATATGTATCGTTACATGCATAATATATACAGCTGGCCCTCTGGATCCACAGGTTTCAAAACTATACATCTAATCAATCTCAGGTTGAAAATATTAGGGGAAAAACCCAAAGATAATAGGACAACAATAAAAAATAATGGAAGTAAAAGCAATACAGTATACCAACTATTTACATAGAATTTCCATTGTATTAGATATTATAAGCAATTGAGAGGTAATTTAAAGAATATGTCAGGATGTGTATAGGTTATATGCAAATACTATGCTATTTTACATCAGGGACTTGAGCATCCTCAGATTCTGTTATTCATCAGGGGTTCTAAAACCAATGTCCTACCAATACCAGAGGACAACGGTTATATAATATGCTCTTATTACTTAACATTGATTATTCATTCATTTAGCACATATTTATTGAGCACCTACGTTAGCCAATATCATGCTAGGTTCTCAGAATAGAAAGGTGAATAAATTGTCTGTTTTTTTAACAAAATTTACTAATATGGTTTGGCTTTGTGTCCCCACTCAAATATCATCTCAAATTATAATCCCCATGTGTTGACGGAGGGATTTGGTGGGAGGTGATTTGATCATGGAGGTGGTTTCCTGCATGCTGCTCTCATGATAGCGAGGGAGCTCTCATGAGATCTGATGGTTTAAAAGTGGCAGTTCCCCCTGCACACGCATACTCTCTCTCTCCTGCTACCATGTAAAACATACCTTGCTTCCCCTTCACCTTCTGACATGATTGTAAGTTTCCTGAGGCCTCTCTAGCCCTGTGGAACTGTGAGTCAATTAAACTTCTTTTATTTATAAATTACCCAGACTCAGGTAGCATTTTTATAGCAGTGTAAACAAGGAATAATATGCTTATAATATATATAGTGGGAGAGAATGTCACTAAACAAATAATGGCTCTAAGAAACACACAATTACAGAGTATGTCAAGTTCAGACAACTGTAAACAGTGTTCTGAATACCATCTGCGAAAGGAAAGGGTGGTAGCTATGATGGCAAGATACCATGGCATGTTTATTATTGATGGAACGAGCCAGAAGAAAGAGGCTAAGTATATAAGGGCAAGAGAAGGGAATCCTGGATTTGTAGAAAGCTTCCTTAGAAGGAAGAAGCCAGAGACCAAGTAAAAGGGTAGGCTTCAAATAAAAGGGAACTGCCTCAACTGAAATAGAAGCAGAAGTGAGGATGACTGAAGATAAAGCTTAGTTTGTAGATTTATAGGTTTGAAGAGGAATTGCCAAAATATGGGACAATGTCATCTGCCTAGAGCAAAGATGTATATTGGAAGTTCTGAGGTTTTAAGAAAACAGGGTTTTTAGGTAATAGTTTAGTGAAAGCACACTGAATAGAGAAGGGCAGTAACTGGGCAGGCTTCATTAAGAACCTGTATTCTGTCATATGGGGCAGATTCTAAATATTTTCAGCTCCCTTATTGCAGGCAAGATAAAGGCAAGAGAGTAGGTGTTAGAAGGGAGAGATAAACTTCTAAAGGGAACTAAATTTTTAAAGAGGATTGTCTTCCAACTGGGAAGAGAGGGAAAACTTTATGAGGTGAGTAGATCTCAGCTAGACAAGAGAACACAATTGCTAGAGAAAGAAAATGGCCAGAGAGAGAAAAGGGGAGAAAAAAGTCTGGGGGAGATGGAGATAAAAGCCGAGTAGTGGTGGATTTCTGGCCTACGTGCAGGAATATCCTTTTGTCTTCCAAAGTAAATGTGGTCATAGTAATATTAATCGTTTATCACCTGATGTTGTGAAATTGTTTATATCATATGTATATATATATTTAGACTCTTAGGCCTGACCATCTATAGAGGAATTTCTAGACATCTTTAGCTGCTACAGGGCTGCATGAATGAAGGACAAGTATATTATCCTCCACACATTAGAAGAGAGGCTCCAGGGAGCAACAGGAGACAAAAGTTCTTTTATTTTTGAGACAGAGTCTTGCTCTGTCGCCCAGGCTGGAGTACAGTGGTGTGATCTTGGCTCACTGTAACCTCCACCTCCCAGGTTCAAGTGATTCTCATCCCTCAGCCTCCCGAGTAGCTAAGATTACAGGTGCGTGCCACCATGTCTAGCTAATTCTTGTATTTTTAGTAGAGATGGGGTTTCACCATGTTGACCAGGCTGGTCTCAAACTCCTGACCTCTAGTGATTTGCCTGCCTTGGCCTCCCAAAGTGCTGGGATTACAGGGGTGAGCCATTGCATCCAGCCAGTTCTTTTCTTTCTTTCTTTCTTTTTTTTTTTTTTTTTTTTTTTTTTTTTT